TTGTTAAAATTACTGTCTTCTCAAGTTAGTTCCTACGACGCGATTCTGAATATATTAGCTTGCTGTCTTGTGACTAATTTTATTCAGAACTTGCAAAGTAGTGTAGCTGAATTAGGTTGCTTGCGGTTAGTGACGGCCTAATTTAGCAGGTAGCCGCTTGCTGTACTGTGACGGTTACCCGATATTTGAACATTTTTTGTATCTGCGTGTGGTTCCCAACCTGGGGTCCGCGCGCAGACCATTGTCATTGGTGTAATAACCAATAAACGACTGTTTTTTTTGTCACATTGGTTGTTTTCTTTGGCTGTTTCGGCTTTCGACACCCCTGCTCTTATTACAGTAATAAAATTGAACCAAGAGTATATGTTAAAACATCGTTATATTCTCTACAGTAATAAACTAAACAAAGCGCAAAATATTCAATAGGTTTTTTAATATAAGCGTTATGTTTCGCATAAGTTATTTGTGTTTAAAAAATAACAACCGCATCCTGTTCAATATAATAAGCTTATTAGCTCATTAATTGCATTAGTTAAACTATTTTTTGGTCTAGATATCAGAAAGGCAGCAGCCCTATTTCATGTCTAGAAGATATTTAAAAATGTACTGTCAATTGTTCTTATCATTGATTACAATTTTTGTTATTATTAGTACGTAATCATTTGCGTCATAATGCGGACTAGATAAGACCATTTCAACTACAATATCTTTAAAAGAATACAATCAAGACAAGATAATAAGATTTCGTAGTAGTTGTCCGATTGGAAGATAAAATCTTAGGTTCCAAATTATTTTACGATCCAATGAAGAATTTCCTTACTATGGCAATCTTGCTTCCTTGATGTTGGCAGCAACTTATAGTCTCTTTCCCACATAAGGGTTATCCAAAATGTTTATCTCCTGAGTTTAATGGCGTGAAAATATATAGCCTAAAGCGTGACGTAAGTGTAGGGCATTTCTTTAAAGAAAGAATTTATCAAAAATATGCTGTAATTGCTGACATCTTAGGCAACAAAAAAGTGTGTGTTTACGCTTTATTATAATAGTATAGATAATATAGATTGTTAGTATTAACACATTTAATATCAATATGTATTCCATCGTTTTTAATATGTTTTAAAATGTTAAAGCAAAGAATTCAGTTCAAGGCAACGGTATACCGCCACACAAATTACGGGGCCGCGTAACTATGGGTTATTTTTAAACTTGATAAACTCTCAAATTAGTATACATTCCTAAGAGTTAGAGATTCGTCTTGTTTAAATATACATTCCTTCCAGTAAACTGTTGTTAAAACATCTTTATAATTTTGAAAACTACTTACATTACACTGACTTATCAGCCCAATGTTCGTAAACACGTTGCTTCGTAAGATAAGTTTCCAATTTCACAGAGTTAAAATATTTAAATGTCGTTTCAGTATTCAGCTGTATAATTTCTTAATTTAGAATTTCATTAAAATGTTCCATAATTATTACAATATAAAAGCAAATTATTCTATTTTCACTTTACAGAACCTCAATCATTCGTGCCTTTCAGAGCCATACACAACCCACCGATCAAATTTAATTCTGTGCACAGGAAAGTGTTCATACCGGGCGTTGAAATAAAGGTCAGATTCATTGAAAACGAAAGAAGTGTTACAACCCATCTTCTTAATCCTAACTTGTAAGTATATTTTAAGAATTACAATTCAATTTCTTATTATTAAAATTAGACACTTTTTTGGGAATTCAGATAATTTTATTAAAGTATGGATTTTCAGGTTAAATGTAACCAAATACCACGCCAAATCTGATTTTATTTTGACGCATATGTAATTAATTTTTACCTACTTCCCAACAGTTTCTAAAAAGGCATACCTTATCAAGATAGATTAGCCAGAGTAGAGCGCAATGGAAATCTCTAATCTCCGCTTACCCCAATAGGTCACGGGCGTGAGTGCTTTTATCTTATCTAGTTTCAAGTAGCCACTTAGCTTTCGTGTAGCGTATCTTAACCTTTTTATGTGTAACCATCAGCAAACAATAAAAAAGTATTTGCTGGCTTTTAAAAGAATGAGAAATAGCAAGGCTTGAAATAACTCTATGAAAAGATTATAATTTTATGACCATTTCCACATCAATACGGTCAACAAATTTTGGTCCTTCGAGCCTACTTAGTGTAGTCGTTGAATAAAGATACACGTTATATGGTCACATATAACACTATACCCAAAAAAAAAAAACAAATACAAAACAGGGAAAGAAAACATAGTGGAAAAAAGACATATAAATGTACTAAAAGTACACATAAGTAGTAGTAGTACTAGAAATTGATGTAGCATAAGGATTACGTAATAAAATAACGCAAATAAAAATAAACTGCAAAAAAGAGTACGGACCAAGAGTATGTAGGTGTTGTTTTACTTTA